GGTAAAACCTGGAAACAACCCAACTCTATGGGGACTACACCTGAGGGGGTGGAAGGAAGCAAATATTGTTTAAAAATGAACAATGATGTAAAAATATAAAAAAAATAAAGAAAAAAGAAAAAAAGAAAATAGAACTATTGTATCATCATATAGACCCACTCCTTGGTATATACGCTAAAGAAAATAAACAACAGCCTCAAAGAGATATCTATATTTTTAAAAAATAATAAAAATAATAAAAAGGACTCCCTGCCTTGTTATAATATTTCCTATTAGCCTTCAACTCCCCTTCACAGCATTTACCTTACTTTGTCATTATCTGTCTAATGGCGTTAACAACAGACTCTAAATCCCATGAAGCAAGGACTATGTCTGTTTCTGTTCCCTTTCTGTTTTGTTTTTGTTTCCCATGACTGGCACATAACTAGATGGCGGAAGTTTAAGGTAGAGTTGAAAGAACACAGTCTTTAGCCAATGGACAATAACAAGTCAGAACAATTTAATCAAGGATTGTGTTATGATCAAAGGGGAGCTTAAATAGAACAAACTAGAACCTAATCTAATGTGAATGATGGACAAGAGCAAGGCCAAGGCTGAAAGACCAGTTGAGTATGATTTCAACCACTTAAATGAGCAATACCAAGAGCCCGAACCCAGATAAATTCAAGGACAAGACTTTACAGGGGATGTGGCTGTATTTATTCACTTGATGAGTGTGTGTGGGTGTAAGCGTGCTCGGTGTATTCTGTGGACTATCCATTCCGGATAAAATAAAATTTAAAAAAAATCTGGGGCCTCCCTACTGGCACAAGGGGTTGAACACAGCACTGTGAGATTGTCTGCAGACTCTGCAGCATGGGTTCGCTCCCTGGCCAGGGAGCTACCCACATGGCACAGCAGACCTCTCCCACCTCGCATGCTGCTCCCCTCAGCAACGTATTTCAGTCAATCTGTCTATTCTGTACCCCACTCTGTCTCTGATGAATCTTCTTACCCCCACACCTCTGGCCTGTACCCCAGTTCTTTATGCATAAATAAATAAATCTTTTTTTAAAAAAAAAAAAAAAGTAAATCTGTATAGCGCTATACTCCCAATAAGAGAAAAAGTTCAAAAAATAAAGACTGATCACTCTGCCTGACTTACAGAACCAGAGGGAATGGAGGAATGAGGAAGCATTTTACAGGGACCTGGCCTCTTCAAGGAGAAGCCAGAGAGAATTGCATGAAAAGGCTGATACTACAGAGAAGTTTTCTGGTGATGGAATGGGTATTTCAAAGGGTAAGAGGACACAGAGAAACCAAAGGTCAAGAGACAAAAAAAAAAAAAAAAAATGGTACAGGGAAGGTAAGCATGCCCTTACCTAAGTAAAAATGAGTGAAATAAAAATCTACACATTGGAAGCAGTTGTGAGTCCCAAGCTTGAGAGAGGCAAAGAGCTGAGAGGTTACATAGAAGGGCATGAACTTAGTAGCCAGAGCCAGGCTCTGAGTCCTTGGTCTGAAGTTACCAAAAGCACATCACCAGCATCCTCCCTGAGTGCAGGAAGAGTAACCACATGGGGGTGGCCCTTCTCAGCTGGTGGCTGCTCTGACCCCTGCAGATTCTGCTCCCGAGTACCGCTTGCCTAAATAAGGCTTAAACAGTGAACAGCCTTGAAGATTCCAATAATTGTTATCTTTGATGTTAAAAATAAGATCCTTTTCTTGAAAATGGAGACTTCTTGGTAACTATTCTCCCTAATTTCCTGCATTTGAGTGAAATCTAAAGGTTACTTTACATATAAAGTTCATTTTATCAAGAGCATCTGGGAGTCTCTACAGTAAGTCTATTTTTATTTCATATTTAGCAGTAGTAAAAAGTGAATGAAGAGTTGATGACACCAGGGAGCTGCCATTTTTCACACCTCCAACCAGCGCTCTTGTTTCCTCTTGCATATGTCATGATAAAGAGCCAAACTCTAAACTTCTGTTTTCCTGGAGTCACTTAGAATCATGTTTCAAATGCTGTTGGGTTGTGACAACTCACCCCTAACTTCTATTTAAATGCCAACAGTTTGGGAATGGGACATGGTCTCCCCAAGGAGAAGCCAGAGAGGCGAAGATGGAGAACTGTTTGAAAAGGCTGATACTACAGAGAAGTTTTCTGTCAGTGGAATGGGGATTTCTCTCTACACCCTAACAGTTTGGAAATGGGACAATGAGATGTGGAGAGGAAAGGGGTACCTATTCTGAGCACAGGACAATGGGCTTAAAGTTAGTGGCATTAGTCTCATTATTCTAAAGAAATGCGTCTTCTTGAATGGCACTGAGGATATGGGAAATCATGACCTCATAGGAGGCAACTCTCCTGGGGGAGGGAGAGAACTTGGTGCCTGAGTTTGGGGAGAGATGGGGAGAGGAAGTTTATTTAAAAATTTTTTTAACAAAGCTTTCTTTTTTAAGATTTATTTATTTATGCATACAAGAACTGGGGTACAGGCCAGAGGTGTGGGGGTTGAGAGGATTTGCCAGAGACAGAGGGGGGAACAGAACAGGTGGACTGACTGAAGTACACTGCTGAGGGAAGCAGCGGGTGAGACAGGAGAGGTCTGCTGAGCCATGTGGGTAGCTCCTTGGCTGGGGATTGAACACATGCTGCAGTGGCTGCAGGTAGCTTCATAGTGCTATGCTTAATCCCTTGCGCCACCAGGGAGACCCTGAAGTTGATTAAAATTACCCTGTGTTCCTATTTGTTTCCAACTGCAAGTTCAAGCTCATCCATAATCTGGAACCAGATCACCTGATTCAGAGTGGTGGGTTTAATATCAAACTGTCCATTGTTGGTGCTTATTCCCTGATACTAGGTTCCTGACCTAGAGAAAAGAAAAAGAAATAGATGTTTATATATATACACCCCTATTTCTTAACCTTGTATTTCAGCCTATGTTGTTTTCTTCAGGGCATGCTTCATTTTTTGCCTAACTTACTAATCTATATTCAACATTTTTTTCTTCCTCAGCAGTTTTGCTATTGCAGGCTCATTTCTCTATCCATTCCTGCTTCCTTCTCAATTATTCACCTTCTTCCCAAATTCTTATCCCAGTGATGGCAAACTTCTCCAAAGAGTAGTCTGTGCTTATGAATGCCTTCGCATTCTCAGCTCAGGTGAACAGAAAATGGTTTCTATCCCCCTATACTCTGAGACTGTATTGAAACTGTTTTCACCAGGATGACTAACAGACTTGAAATAACCAAAACCCATTACTTCTCAGTTTTTCTTGATTATTCCTTCCTCCCTAACACACTCCCCTTCCAAGATAGTCTTCTTTGACTTCCTTCTCACTGTTAAGCCACTCTTCATCTTCTCCCAATAACTTAAATGGGGATGGCCTCAAAGCCTGTCATTTCTCTTCTTGGTCTACATCTTCCCAGTATGCACTCTCTCCTATTTCTTACACCCTTGTTAATTTTTGGACAATATAAGATTCCTCCCCTTAGGTGCAGTCACCATAGTTCTCCCACCACCAAAGCACCAGTGACCCATCACCATATTCCCTTGTGCTTCCACTCCCCCCGCAGCCCCTCTCCTCCTGGATGCCTCACATCTATGGTCAGCTTTCAAGCTTTGTCTTTGTCTGACCCTTTGTTTGGCTTCTCTGTATTCCACATATAAGTGAAACCATCTGATATTTATCTTTTTCTGGAAGAACTTGATAGAAATCTATTAATATTATATTAATAGTGCTGAGACACAAAGTGGCTCTGAATCACAACTGGCAGAATGAAGGCAAAGAAGAGTCATTACAGAGGCAAAATCAACATGATGGTGAAAATAAGTTATAGAGTCTAAAGGAGAAAAGTGCATGAAGAATCACTCAGGTTTCTGTCCTCGGCAACCAGTGGGTGATAGTGCCTGTCATCAAGAGAAGGAATAGGGGAGGAGAAGATTTGAGGCTACTCTGGAACATCCAAGTGGAGATGTACGGTAGGGAGTTGTGACAACTAAACAAAAGTTTGATGGATAAATTACTAAGATTAATCTGGTGTTCTGTGCTGTAATAGTTGAAGGAGCTCTTGTTACAGTGCATAACAGTTGGGTTTTTTTTTTTTTTTTTTTAAGATTTATTTATTTATTTATTTATACATGCACTGGGTACAGTCAGAAGTGCGGGAGGGTGAGAGAATGCACCAGAGTCAGAGTGGAGAGCAGAGCAGGCAGATGGACAAAATACACTGCTGAGGGGAGCAGCAGGCAGCAGGAGAGGTCCGTGCACCATGTGGGACCCTCGCCGGCGGCCGGGGACCGAACCGGTGCTGCAGAGGTTGCGGGCAGCTTCGCAGCCCAAGAATTTTTTATTTAATTATGCATACAAGAGCTGAGGTGCGGGTCAGAGGTCAGGGAAGGGTGAGAGGATTCACCAGAGACAGAGTGGGGAGCAGAACAGGCAGAATGACTGAAATACACTGCAGAGGGGAGCAGAGGGCAGGATAGCAGAGGTCTGCTGCGCCATGTGGGTCAGCTCCCTAGCCAGCAATCAAACTTGTGCTATAGTGGCTGCTGATAGCTTCATAGTGCTGACACTTAATTCCTTGAGCCACTAGGGAGGCCCTCTCAAGTACAGTTTTAAATGCTGTGAATTCATTTTATCTACATTTCCTCAGAATAGAAAGGTAGAGATCTGATGCAGTCCAAAATGCTGACAGGACTATACATCATTTAGTTTACGTGCATTAGTCTGTAATTCTCCAGGAACACCACTAGCTTCCTCCTAAAGGCACTTTTTTAGTGTATCCAGAGGGTAAGCTCTATGACGCAAGTTCTTTTTTTTTTTTGATTGGCAGATTGTTTACATACCTCCTGCAATGGCCTAAAAGGGATCTTCCCTAATGACATGCTAGAAAGAGTAGAGATTATTTCCATGCTTCCTATTTTGTCAAGTAAGCACAATCTATGATTTATTAGTGTCATAAACTATAGGGCTACAAATAATTTTAATATGCACATGTAAACATTGGCTTACCTTTGATATTGATTAAAATAGCAAGTAAATGGCTGGGAACCAATCTCATCTTTCCAGTACTGTTGCCAACTCATGACACTTTCCAAGTTCTTCTGATTTTCTCTTTTACAGGGAGGAATATAGGAGCACTAACAAAACAAAACACAGAAAGTGAACCTATTATTCTAGAAGATATTCAGATTTAGTCCATTTTTATAAAGATGGCATTATGCAGATAGTACATTTAATTTTGACCTACTTAATTTTTAATATAACCAAATTGAAATTACTCAACTATACAGCAAATTTCCAATTTGGCACAATTATAGAAACTATCTCAATAACAAAATTACAGCAAAAAAAATTCTCAATCATTACCGTGTAAAGACATATTGTAAACAGTTACGATTTTATGGCAAATTGAAAGCAGAATTTATTGTCTCTTTTTGAGAGTCTGAAAATCAACAAAGTAAGAAAAAGTTCATTTTTACCCCCAATTTCTATTAGTATATGCCTTGATATTTTCCTCTTTCACCTTTTACTAATAAATCAAGCACGCGGCTCTCCTCAGATGCTGCACTCAGCTATTGAAACTGCACTTTTCTTCTCGTATATTCTCTTGGACAACAAAATCAATAGGAAAGTTCCTCTCCAAGTACATAATCAATGCAGCGCATCTCTCTAACCAATGGCTTTTCCTACACATGCCTCTTACAAAGCAGTTCTCTCCAATGGAACTTGATTACTCTAAGTGACACAGATTCAGTAGAATCAGAAAACTGCTCTTAACTCTATATGTAAAAGGAAGTAAGCATTCTAATCCATTTTCTCCAATAAGGTCTTTGATAATGACCATGAAGAAAACGCCACCTTGTAGTTATAGCTGATAATATGCCAGATACTATAATAAATGCTTAACAAGCCTTCAAGCACATACTTCTTACAACAGCCCTGTAAATAATCACCATTTTATAGATGAGGAAATCAACAGGTCAGCTCTACAGCTGGAATTAGATTCTGGTGATTTTATAATGTGAGCACCTTCCATTTCCTGGTGAAATACAAATGTTTTGGTACGATGTACAAAGCTCTTGAGGATCTGGTCCCCACCTGCCCTCACTCTCACTTAAGCCCAGTTTGCAGAAAACATCTGCTTCCCAAATCTGCCACCTGCTGTAACACCTACCTGCCTGATACATGCTGTCCTCTCCTTTTAATGCTCCTTTTCCTGAATTCCCCACTTTCGAGATGCAGTTCTGGTGTTACCTGTCTTTCTTATTCCTCTGTTAGGTCCCCCTCATTTGTACTGCCCCAGGTGTCACAACCCACGTGATCATACTTGGAATCACCATCATTCTCCTCTGTTTTACGTCCATCTCCCCAATTTTCTGGCAACATGGGAACATGACTCTCATATTTTCTGTACCTTCACACTTAGGACTATGCCTGGTAACTGTGAAGTTTTGAAAATGCTAGTGGAACTAATTAATAACAGAGATCCATTTTTATTCAAGATGATGAATCTATTTTCACAGTGGTTAAACATTTAAAAATAAACAACACAAACACATTTTAAATTTTAATAAATTTGGTTATTTGTTATATATAACAAATTCCTAACATGTTATGCAAATATTATTTTAGTTATTGAATCACTGGATACTTAACCTCTGCACACACAGTTCCACTTCTATTAATAAGCATAAGATAAAGTTAGAAGTTTCTATGAAATTTTGATTTCTGAGTTCTTCCAAAACAGCAGTTGGGCATGGATACCTGGACAGTGTCAGCGAGGGCTCCAGCTTATTACTTGTTTGGTGTTTGGTTCTGAATAAATTACTTCCCTTTTCTGGATTTCTTTTAAGATTTATTCATTAATGCATACAAAAATTGGGGTACAGGCCAGATGTGCGGGAGGGTGAGAGGATTCAACAGAAAAAGAGTAGGGAACAGGACAGGCAGACGGACTGAAATACACTGCTGAGGGGAACAGCGGGTGAGACAGGAGAGGTCTGCTGCACCATATCTCCCTGGCCAGCCAGGGATCGAACCGGTGCCTCGGAGTCTGTAAACAGCTCCACAGCACTGCGCTCAATGCCTTGCGCCACCAGGGAGGACCCTGGGTTTCTTTATTCTCCAAAATAATCTCTAGCTCTACACTTCTATGATTCTCTTCTTCGAGGTATACTGAGAACGGATCCAGCAGAAGACAGACTATGACACCGTTGCTGTACTTTTCCCAGATGAGAACCACCCCCACTGGAGAGGTGGCTGGGAAGCCTGACTAAGCTACTGTTGCAACCAGCAAAAGGACAAGAGAGGAAGGCATTTATATTTTGCATTAGGAAATGTTCCTTAGGAGCCCTTAAAATTGTGATTTTTTTTATGTCTTATAATGCATTGAATATTCCTTTCTTTCTATTAAAACATTTTTTCTATGTCATAGTAAATTAACTCATAAAGTGAAGAGTATAGATTGCTGCCAGTTGGTTGCACTCTTTGTAGGAAGGAGCAATTTCTAGATTTAGAGGTAGAAAAATTTATCAGAGCCCTTTTTGCAATGAGTATACCCCACAAGAGGTATAAGTGGGGAGGGGCGATCACAAAGTGGTGAGAGCACAGTGGATTTTGGTGGTGGACTATCTGGGTGTTTGGTGGTGGGTGCGCTACGGTAACTACACTTGAAGGGGGCTCCTATATTTCCAAAATACAAACAACAGGGCCTCCCTGGTGGCGCACGGGGTTAAGCACAGCACTGTGAAGCTATCCGCAGCCTCTGCAGCACATGAATTCCATCCCTGGCCAGCCAGTGAGCCACCCACATGGTGCAGCAGACTTCTCCTGTTTGGCCTGCTGCTCCCCTCAGCAGTGTATTTCAGTAGATCTGCTTGTTCTGTTCCCCACTCTGTCTCTGGTGAATCCTCTCACATCCCACACCTCTGGTCTCTACCCCTAATCTTGTATGCATAAATAAATAAATTTTAAAAAATACAAACAACAATGTAAACCAACATTACAATAAAAATTTTTTTAAAGATTTTATTTATTTATACAAGAACCAGGGTACAGGCCAGCTGTGCTGGAGGGTGAGAGGATCCACCTGTGACAGAGTGGGGAACAGAACATGCAGACTGACTGAAATACACTGCTGAGAGGAGCAGTGGGCGCGACAGTAGAGGTCTGCTGCGCCATGTGAGACCCTCGCTGGCTGGTGGGGATCGAACCCGCGCTGCAGGGGCTGCGGACAGCTTCACAGTGCGGCGCTCAACCACCTGCGCCACCAGAGGAGGCCCCTACAATAAAAATTTTAAGAAGAAAAAAAAAGAGGGGGCATCCCTGGTGGTGCAGGAGTTAAGTCTCAGTGCTATCAAGCTATCGGCAGCCAGTGCAGCACAAGTTCGATCCCTGGCCAGGGAGCTGACTCACAAGGAACAGACCTCTCCTGCCTCGCCCATTGCTCCCCTCAGCAGTGTATTTCAGTAGATTTGCCTGTTCTGCTCCCCACTCTGTCTCTGGTGAATCCTATCAACCCCCATCCCCCACTGCACCTCTGGCCTGTACCCCATTTCTATGCATAAATAAATAAAATAAATCTGAAAAAAAAAGAGGTATATAACAAACATTTTAGGGAACTAACCAAAATGTAATTAAAGTAGATTTTAATGTACTGCAAAATGGTATAGTTTGAATTATTTGTTAGTTTTTTGGAGGAGGAGATAAGGTTTTTGAAAGTAACCTGTACCACATAACAAATCTATGACCTGACTAGGAGACTGACACTTACATGTTGCTGAAAAAGTCAGATAAAACTTTCACTGAGTGTGTAAAGTTTTGCATTAAGTATGTTGTGGCTCCATGTGGGATAAAAGAAACACTTCTTGCCTTTAAGCAACTCTGAGAAGGTATGGGTGAATTTTTGGAAGCAAAGTACAGTTTTCATTGGGAAAAACAAATCTGACATCAAAATTCAGGTATTTTTTTCATGGACTGCATTATTTTCAAAGAGTAGCATAGATTAAGTAATGAACTTACAATATTCTACTACCTTTTAAAGTTCACACTGCCTTGAAAGGAAATTTTTTAAAAGGTCACGCTTTATGTTCTGAAAAGCATTATTGTGCATTTGCATTTTCTGATTCTCCAATTAGTTTGTCTTTAAAATTTCTGTGTGGCCTAATGCAGATTCTTCCTAGATCACTTTTCAGTTCTACTTAGTGACTAGACTAGTACTACTTAGTGCTAGAATTTTTATATATAATTCAAAGGCATGTTCTAGAAAAAAGTTTGGAAATTCAGTCATAGACACTCCTTTCCTTTCTAGGTTGTTAAAGCCTGATGGTTTCCCAGGTTCCATAAAATTCCACCATGAGTATCTTTTGTTTGGGGGACAGGCACAAATAATAATGCATATCATCATCAAATCTCATTTAGTGCAAATAAGCAGGTATTGTAATTATTCCCAATTTATAGATGAGAAAATTGAGGGGCACAGGCATTTAAGGAAAACTTCCTGAAGTTACCATAGTAAATTTAGGGGTGCACCACCTTCCATGTCTCTATCTATAGGGCTTCCCCATTTTCTCCTTTGAAGCTCCTTCATCCAGGGTAAGGGAGATGCCATGACTTTTGCTTCCCTCTCTTGGGGATCCAGGGTAGTCTCTCTTTGGGAGTGGAGTTGGTGTGGTCCTCTGGAGGACTGGCAGGCTGGGGCAGTGTGGTGCAGTCCTTCGTTCTCCTGCTACATTCTCAGAGAACCGTAATGGAAGTCTTTGCTTGTTTCCTCTCGTCTCAGTTTGGCTTGAGAGTAGATTTTTGGTGCCACAGATGTAATTTCCCTTAGGTGATACAGACACAATGTCTTTGATCATGGAGAACAATGATTATTCTCCTGGAGAAATGTCCAGTTCTGACCTTTTTGATTTTCATTTGCAAAGGCAGCATTTCCTAATTCCTAACATCATTATCGCCTGAATAACCTTCACTAGTGTTTGTGTCATGTGCTGCCTAAACTTGCATGAAATCACTTTCTTTAAAAAGTCAGGAGAAAAAGAGGCATGTGATTAAATATATTTGTTTAATCCTTATTTTTTAGGGGGGAAAAAAGATTGACTTTTACATTCACGAACAAAGTTGATAGAATTAAGTGGGC